AGTATTGACTCAAACTTTGTATTTACAATGTGGTTATTTATACAACATGTGATTATTATCGATATCATTTGCCCTACATTTCCAAATAATATATTATCTTATGACCTTCATGGGAAATGCAAGCAAGCAATTACAATTGATAAAGAGCGAATGGGTGTGGTTTTATTTGCACTTTCTGATTGAATTTTGTTTGCACACTTTACATTGCGCGTTTTTTAACATTATCTAACGCCAGCACTTGCATGAATATTCGTATTTTTATATTAACAGGAATCTCCCCTTTTATTTTATTTTCATTTGAAATGTTTTTTAATCTGTACGATGTTTAAATATAAAGAAGATTTTACGAAAGAAAAGTTTACTAGAAAAAAAATACTACAAAAAACAATCCACGCGGACCAGGCAGCGGACGGGACTCGAACCTGCACCTCCCGCTATCCGGGCGGACGCACTACCGAGACCTTAATGGCCGTGTCGAATTCCGCTAGTATTTCCTAAGCTAGCGTAGCGTAGAAATCTCTTCGCATTGCAGGTAACCCACAATGTCAAACGTTATACTTTAACAAGTATTTAATACTTGTTTTGAAAGAATAAATAGCAATTGTAGTTATTTATATTTTGTTTGAACAATATATCTGCTAGATTTAATAAATCTTAAGAAAGTTTTACTAGAAAAAAAATCAACGCGGTGTAGTCATCAGACGGGTTTCGAACCCGCTCCTAATTTTCATTCCTTATCGACCTACTGCTGTCAAATAGCAAATACGAATATCCATGATATCTTGATAACAAATTTGGCATCGGTAGTGTGTCTTTAGGTACTGTTTTTTACTAAATCGTAAGTTAGTCATGGTTTAAACCTTATCTGTCTCCGTCTTCTTTTTAGCAAACAAAAGTGACAGCATGAGTTTTAAACTAGGCTTAACTTTAGTCAACGATTTCTAGTTAGGCGGATGAGTTTTGAACCAAAACTAACTATAGTCCGCTTTTTTGAATAAGGCGACTTAAGTCTAAGTCTGAGGTCTAAGTATAAAAGACTGAGATTTAAAAAAATGATACACAAAAACCATTTATATATACAAGCATTTATTTTTATAATGAAACACAAAGGTTGCAAACATTCAATAATGCAATAATAGCACTAATAATATCATTAAACTTACTTGAAACTTCACTATTAGAATTTAAAAAGATAATTTCACTAAAATTATATAATACGGCAATGCTTGTAGGCCTTACGTTGTGCACCCTATCGTTGTTAGGCCATTCCGTGATACATCGATTTAGATTTAGTTACATTATAGTCAAGCTGAGTAAAGTATTAAGTTTAGTGTATGAGACAAAGCTCAGATACTGAATTTGATTTTCACAAAACGCAAGTATACACCTCCATTCTGAAGTAAAATATGACAGAATACTCTTAAATCTTAGATATTCTTTGCACAACGAGTAACAGAAACAATGCACACCCTGAAAATAGTTTATAACAAATATACCAACGAATCAAAATTTCGGTAATATTTCATTGCATTTAAAAATAGCTCTTATCACTGGTATTATGTATCATATTCTTTTGTTTAGAAAGATTAAATTAATGGCAATTATTTTTTTGGGTATTATTTTTGGATGGGTACTTTTCTATTGAAGTCGATTCAGAAGCCAATTCCAACAAAACTACTTTTAGGGTATGCATTATTTCTGTTACACGTTGTATACTGTATATATATTTAAAAAAAAACAAACTCTTTGACGCCATGGTCCAAAACTGCGAAATGGTATTTAAATGGAGTAGTCTTTTAATGATTATCACATCTATATGAACATTCCCAGTTAATTAAATATTAAATAAAGTCAACAATGAATTTGAATGACCAATTCAGCGATTTAAAATAAATAAAAATATTGTATTCATCACACTGAGATACATTCTTACATTCTGTGAAAACGTTTTCTGTATGTATGCAGGTATTTTTTTAACTACTATTATAGTGCCTTCGATAACGTCAAATGTCTGAATAAATCTTTATTGTCTTGGCATAGCGTTCGCTGAGAATCGTCTTAGTTACGATATAAGTAAATTATTTGACTACACTAAGAACATCGGGTACAATTTTGCGCAATTATTCGAATGCATACAATAGATGGTATTATTGTATAATTGATAAAATACCGTGGTAACAACTTGACTTCGAGTTCTATTTTCTACCAAAATGTAAGTTTAGGGAAAGTCCCGACAAACGTGTACTACACGTAGGCTTGCCAGATGGCCGGCAAATCCTTGACTATCCCGGAATTTTGCGTCTTGTCCCATGTCCAGTAATTAGACTTTATTACCCCGGGTTCCGATAATGTGCTTCGTTTCGTAACAAAATAAACTAATTACGAATGACACAGCTGGCCTGCTTGATGTATCATTCTGAGGTGTGATGGGGGGTTCGATTTTTTGCTTTATTTTTTTAGGGGGGGAGGGGTGCAAATGTCCCGGAATTGATAAGCCAGCATCTGGCAACCCTAACTATATGGCAAAGGTATTTAAAATTCGGCTTATAGTGCACAGAACCAACAGAACATGTAACGAGCCGGCAACGAGACTGATGCCGGCACTGCACTTGGTTATACGCATTTGCCAATTTTGTCAACAGCATGTCCTTATCATGCTTTATAAAGAGTGAAAAGGACGGACTGATGTCACGTTTACAAATAGCAAACACGAATAGCAAAATTTGTGGCAAATAACAACAAAACAGTAGGCGGAGTTACTGCATTCTCAAGAAAAATAAACATTGAACAATTTCAAATACTTTATCATAATGAATATTCTGTACATTCTTTAATTGAAGTTAATAAATTTTGTTATAAACTCAACTTTCTAAACCAAGGAATAAGTTTATAAGCACATTTCGCCATCGAATTCTATATATAACGGTATATTAATTAACAAGGTCTTTGTGATGTTCATATTTCATGTGGTAGTTGTTATGCTGTTAATTAGACTTAGATAGTCTTACTAACTAAATTATTATAAACAAAATATAAGTACATTTACAAATAAATACTCCATATGCATTTATGTTTGACTAAACTTCATTCTAAGAAGAAAATGAATATTTGTAATGTAAATGTAAAAAGAGAGTTGTTTTAAAGCTAAAATCGTAATTTCGTACGTCTACATTATCATTATTTAATATTATATAAACTTTCCCCTTCGAGGAATAAAATATAGCCAAACCTAAAATACATATCAAACTATTATAAATGTAAATGTCAATCTCACATTCTTAGTTCCATTTTTTTTCTTTTGGCACTACCCTTCTTTCGTTGGCCATTTATCACATAATAATAAGAAAACGAAACAGTGCAGATACTTTAAAAAGACGTAACGCTTCACTACAGCTACAAGTATCACCTATATATTAGTGTTATATATCAATATATATAAAAGTGAACAAGAGGCACTCTATTTAGGTTTATATACGCAGGTTAAAATAAGCGTAGTCCGTGAAACATCAAACGTGAACTAGAACATTGTGAATATGACACACTATATTACATCATCTAACATCAGCGAATGAAACGGTACGCTCGTGCGCACGCGATTATGTACGACTCCTAAAACAAACAAAACCAAAGCACTTACACTAAACAATGTAACTTTACTTACGAAGTATCGTCTTTCACAACAGGTCGTAATCGTTATTATTAATCTTAGCTTACAGCCAGGAAATACCCTAAAGCAAATTTTCAATCGAGTCAGTATAAATCAAGGAGCCATATTACGAAGAATACCTACATCGTCTAACACTCATACATTATGTACAACAAAGGAAAGCCCATTTGTCCGTGATACGGCTGTTGCAAGATTTGTCAAGTATCAATTTCAAGTTATCGTATTGATCTAGTAAATTGTTTTATCGTAAATCTTGAATTGTAAAGATTCATCTATTAAACTGTTTACACCAATATTCGAAAGCTGAACCGATGGAATCTACGCTCTCTAAACTAGATGTATCAACCCTAAACAATAAGGTACTAATTTTGTATGCTCTAACACATTCAGTAGTATACTAAGAACTGTACATCTCTCACTGTACCAATTATACATTTACCGATTACTGTCACCAATTTTATTTCTAAAACTGTATGAACTTCATCACATTTGTGGTTTATATTCATTTCTTATCTGACTCCTATCAGGGAGATTTTTGTATAATTTCTATTAAAACGTTATTCTTCAGTTTTGTTTACAATTATATCATCATCCCCCATATCCGCTATACACGAACCATTATTACACGTACAACTTTCTAATATTGGTCCGCTACTGAGTTGTGAAATGATCTAGCTTTACACTCTTATACTTATTCTAAGGCTAGAATGAACTTAAACATCTCTATGCTTTGCGTGATTTGTTTGCAATAGAGGCGTTAAAGCTAACATCTTCACTCGACTACTCATTCCTAGACTCCATCACGATTACGCTAGCAACATCATTCTCCAAAGATTCCGAAGACATAGTTGCCAACTTAGCACAGTTACACGCTATGCATCCCATGGTCCAGACAAAGAGAACACAGCTAGTACGCTAATGCCGCCGTCGCATATTTTCTTAATCCATCTCAAGACCGCCCAAACACATATCCATTCCAAGTGTTTATGGTACCTACTTCAAAGATATGTAGATGCTTACATACTATGACAAAATTACGTCTACATAATTCTATAATTTGTTATAAACAAGTGATATGTTGTTGGAGGCATCACTCCTTTTCTTTAAATATAACATTCATTCATAAACGATAAATTTTACATTCCTTACGATTTAGTTATAGAACTTAATAGCGACTTCTCTAGACGAATACTTAATGGACTTAAGATCGATTTCGCAGTATCCAATAAAGAGTTGGAAATCACCGACCAGTTCTCAATAGATACTGCTGCATCAGATCTCGAAGCGCAATATAACACTTGAGGTGGCTTATAATTAAAATATACTTTCTATAATTTTACATATAAAAATAAGTCAGTAATAAAAATATCCCAGAGATTCATAAGACGGCAAAATATACACACATATACTATTTATAATTTATAATACAAGACAGTTTGCGCATATTAAATGAGAACCAGAATAAATTATCTTCAGAAGTAACTGAGAGTTTGCTCGTATTCTTAAGTGTTTTTTTTTCGTATTAAATAAGAGTATTGAAAGAATACTTCGTATGAACAAGCAATCGAGTCATAGCGAAGATAAGTTGTACTCGTTCCGTTTATATTGCGCATCTCATTAGACTTGCAGTCGTTTTGGAACAAGCAAATTCATAACTGAGTGATTAGAATGGCTCGCTACTAAATTTGAAAGTCCCTCATATGATGATGTACTTTAAGATAGTGGGTTGAAGGAAACCGAAGACAGTGACGAGGCTGAGGCTGGTGACACCGTAATAGTGTCGAGTGCCGGAATTGCTTGTGCAGTTCTGAATGGGCTCGGGCTTAGCTGGAAACAAAAATTTAATGAGTTAGGACATTTGAAACTTGTATATTTAATACTAGCGGCCCGCCCTCGCTTCACTTCAGTGTAGAGCTGTAGTGTAAACTATAGTTTTTGTTCTCAGGCTTGTGCTATAAACAATGACTTTATTTATATAATTACACGTGTTATTGTGAGTCAACCATAAAAGATAGCCATATGCTGTTGCGGGATATTTTTTAGACAATTTTATGTAGAATATTTCCGTCATACATGATTTTTATGTAATTTTAACCATTAAGGCTGCACACGCGACGGAAGCTTAAAAAATGGAGTAACTTCTCCCGTTTTCCCAACATTTCCCTTCACTACTCTGCTGCTATTGATTGTAGCGTAATGAAAAGTATACTATAACCTGCCCAGGAGTATGAAGAATAATTGTACCAAGTTTCCTTAAAATCCGTCGAGTAGTTTTTGTTTCTATAAGGAACATACACACAGACAGTCAGACAGACAAAAAATTTACTGATTGCATTTTTGGCATCAGTATCGATCACTAATCACCCCCTGGTAGTTATTTTGAAAATATATTTCATGTACAGAATCGACCTCTCTACAGATTTATTATAAGTATAAATAACTTCTAAGTGCTGTGTTTTGTTTTGAGAAAAAATATACCAAACTTTTCATATAATCTAGATGGAGTGGACATAGCATCTGTTAGACAACTAAAGGATTTCAGTGTAACCATTACATCAGACTTAAAGTGGAAGCAACATATTTCACCAGCCTGCAAAAATATGTATCACATTTTTATTTATAAATTTAACCTAAAACGTTTTACAGCTAATTTTATCAGCTTTCTTTGAAATTTTAGCATAAATTTAAACTCTATTTCGAAAGTTTATCTTGTGTACTTATGATGTTATTGCAATTTTAAAAGTGTTATAGGTACTAAGTTTTCTAGACCAAACTCATTCTCTCATGAAAATAATTAAAACTAAACATATATATACACAGTCAGGTCATAAGTATTGTTACACAGTAAAAACTTTTCTTTTAGAACGCTGGCCACAAAAAAGTTTTTTGAATTCGAATTTCGAATTGTTCATGAAAATAAAAAATTATACTTTTTAGAATTTTACTCATTTTTAAATATGGAGTGGACGCTTAAAGAAGATCATGTTGCAGTTATTGCATTGCATTGTTGCAGTTACGCGCCAATTCAATTTTTTGACATACTGAAAATTTTGAATATACCCAAAAGATTCGTTTATCGTACCACCAAACGATACAATGAAGGCTCTAATGTAGATAACAGGTCAAAAAGTGGTCGGTCTGTTAGGACTCCAGCAGTGATAAAAGCTGTGAAGGCGCGAATTCAAAGAAATCCCAAACGTAAGCAGAAACTTGGGCCCTTCAGATGGGGTTAAGCAGAACCACGGTGAAAAGGGTGTTAAATGAAGACTAAGGGCTTCGGGCATATCGAAGAAAAACAGGACATCGTTTGAATGCTCGTCTAATGGACCTGAGAGATGCAGCGCTTTGTTGAAGCGGTACGCGGGAAAAATAAATCGGGAAATTATTTTTTCGGATGAAAAATTTTTTACCGTAGAAGAGAGCTACAACAAGCAAAATGATAAGGTGAACGCACACAGTAGTGAAAAAGCGAGCAACCGTATTCCGCGTGTCCACCGAGGTCATTGTCCATCCTTGCTCATGGTATGGTTGGGAGTTTCTTACTGGGGCTTAACAGAGGTACATTTTTGTGAGGAAGGTGTAAAAACGAATGCAGTTCTGTATCAAAATACCGTCCTGACGAACCTTGTCGAACCTGTTTCTCATATCATGTTCAATAACAGGCAATGGGTATTCCAACAAGATTCGGCGCCAGCTCATAGAGCGAAGAGCACACAAGACTGAGAAAATGTAAGAGAAATCGACTTCATCCGGCACGAAGACTGGTCCTCCTCCAGTCCAGATTTGAGTCCATTAGATTACAAGATATGGCAACACTTGGAGGAAAAGGCGTGCTCAAAGCCTCATCCCAATCTGGAGTCACTCAAGACATCCTTGATTAAGGCAGGCGCCGATATTGACATGTACCTCGTTCGTGCTGCGATAGACGACTGGCCGCGCAAATGGTAGGCCTGTATTCAAAATCACGGAGGTCATTTTGAATAAACTTTATTGTCATAAGAATCTATGTTTTGTTAAGTTCATTTTGGTATATAAATGGTTACATAATGAATAAACTTGTTTCAATTATTTTATATTAAACATGTGACAGAATTAATGACCTGACTAGGTATATACATATGTGTTAAGTCACCCGGGGATATTGTAGACATGTAAATGTTTCAAATTACTCGTTACTGTTTTGTTTTTAAAATAAGTACATCTGTGGCTCTGTAGAGTAACTTTTATTGACCTACACATTAATAGATTTTCTCAATAACACGAAAATACAATAACCCCGGGGACCGTATAAAGGCTTCTGCTGAGTACAGGTTATAGATCTGGAGACCCTTTTACTTTTCGGTTCCTTTTTAAAAAAGGATATTTATTAATCTTCTTGAAAGTGCCCAGAGAAAAGTCATTAAACGGCCATACATTGTTCGTCGGAAAACCTTGAAAGAGAGACTTATTATTCACTGTAACTGCCTAAAGTTTCTTGCGTTTTGCCTTTAGCTAAGTAGCCCGCTTAACATAAATAAAATAAAACTTGTGAGCCGAGTAATCCAGGGTTCGATTCCCAGAGAGCGCAACTTCTAAGGAGGTTCCTATAGGAGTCGCGGAAACCCTTCAATATGTATAGGCATATCAGCAAAATGCTGCATAAATAAATAAAAATAATAAATATTTCCAACACTCACACCAATTAGCCTAGCCCCAAAGTAAGCACTGTAAGGCTTGTGTTATGGGATACTAGGGTGACAGATAAGAATACAAATACAGTACATAAATAAGTATATATAGATAGAAATACATATTTAAAATCCACGACTGGAGTACAAATGCTCGTATTCATCACACAAACATCTGCCCCCACCGGGATTCGAACCCGGGACCTCTCGAGTAGGCGACACCATGAAACACGGCGTATAAACTACTCGGCAACGGAGGTCGTCAACAATAACAACATCTTGATTTTTTTTTGAGACGAAGTAGCCATTGACTCCACTCCGAAATGCCTTATGGCATTACGGCCACCGTAATCTACTGCTTATATGTACTCTCCACAGAAACGCAACACCATACTCCACGAGGAGGATCCTAGGTCCAGAAGACTCCATTTTACAAAAGTACTGCTGCAAATAATGGAACCAATCAATTTGTAGTTGTCTATCTTTGTACTTCAGTGAAACTTTTATTAAAATGTGTTAAGTTGTTGAAATTATTGCCTAAGACATGATATGCTACAACAGCGCCTCCCCTAGGTGACTTCTTTTGTAAAAAAGTATTTTGGAGGATTTAAAAAGTGTTTCTTGGCTTCAATCTTCCTTCTTAATATAACGGTAGAAGATATAATTTAAGGGAAAAATCAATTCTACCTTATCAATATATAACCTAAAAGGAAATGCGTACTTAATTTAAACGTGATTTATTTCATTTATTATTTCTTTACACCGACTTAAGATTTCGCTGAATCAATTAACGTCAGTGTGCAGGTGTTCCTTAAAAATTTAATCTTATCAATAATTATACCCAAAATTCGTCAACTACATAAGTAAAGAGTTCACTTAATTACAGCAATATTTTAATAATATTTTTTTCTTTAGTTACTAACGATATAACTGTAATATGTACTACTACTCGACTTATGAAAATAAAATGAAATCATAATAAAAGGTTTAACACTTAAAACAGAGCAAGAAATTAATTGATTCTGAAATGTCCCCTGTTCTTCTATTTCTCTACATGAATCTACTGTTTTTCTTACAATAGGATTTTCTTTTTTAATTTGAGTATTGTGTTGCATTTTCAGCTATTAAGAATTTAGGTAACCTTTAATATAACAGAATAATAATGTTTTTTTAATAAAAAAAAGCTTTGGAGGGCGCGACAGAAGCCATAGGCATTCGTTACTGGGCAAAATTTTAATTTGATTGATTTACCAATTTTAGAGGGGGGGGGGGCAAATTATGGCCATGCATCTACTGCTTTCTTCTGCAACGCCTCGTGATTTTTTTAAATCGGACCTGGCAAGTTCCTAATTACTTACTTAAGCTTAAACGCAAAATTTAATTAAAAAAGGGGTATGGGACAGTGGTGGCGAGATCTTACTTCTTTTATTCTTGAGACATAAGTCCGATTCATGTTCTAGAACAAAGTTGATAAATAGCAACTTAGTTCTAGAACATCTCTTAGAGAAATTTTTAAAGTAATCTAGTTTTGCTAGAATGTCAATTTCGTAAAATTGCCATTTATGCGATCTGCTAGTTCCGTTATTTGACATCTTCACAAATCGTACTGTTTTACAGTTTTACAAATCTTCTTCTTCGTCCTTGCTCCTTCCCACTTTATATGGGATTGGTTCTCCTAATTCTAAGGCGCCAAGACTCTTTGTAAAAATTTAAAGAAATCGGGATTTTGACTGTTGCTTCACTTCATAATCATACGGTACAGTCTTGTCATTATACACAATCGTACAGTTAGTCATTATACAGTTTTGGTAGGTTGAAGATTTCGCTAATTAGGCATTTAACTGACTCTGCAGATTTATTCTTCGCTAGTTTTGCTAGGATATCAATTTCGTATAATTGCCAGTTATGCGATCCGCTAGTTCCGTTATTTTTCATCTTCACAAATCGTACGGTTTTACAGTTTTTCAAATCTTTTTCCTCGTCCTTGCTCCTTCCCACTTTATATAAGGGGTCGGTTCATCTAATTCTAAGGCGCCAAGACTCTTTGTCTAGCTTCGTCATGCTAGTCCACCCGGTGGCGGGAGGGCGCCCTCTGCCTCTTCTATGTTCAGGAAGCAATAAAGCCTTACTGACCACATGTTCCTCGTCTCGTCTCATTTACAGTTTTACAATTATTGAGATAAAATAAAAAAAAATATATAACATGCAAATAGCAATACTTAGTTATGAAACTGCATTTATTGTATAAGTGTCTTTAATTGTGCAAACGAAACTTATCAGTTTCATCTGCACCATTAATAGTGCAAGTCACTGGTGCATTCGGTATAGCGGGTCTTCGTCTTCCGTTCGCAGAATTCCGAACAGCTGGTCTTGTTATGATGCTAGTTCATTTTCTATCAGATTTATGCTCAAGCTTGGCGGCTCTTATCAGCATATTCGTTGACAAGCTCGATGGCGCAAGTGGTTAGCGTGTTCGGCTGCGATCGATGAAGTTAAGCAACTTTCACAGTGGTCGGTCATTAGATGGGTGCTTCGGAAGACACGTTAAGCCGTTGGTCCCAGCTGCATCCTCAGTCGTTAGCACCCGCCAATCCGCACTGGGCCGGCGTGGTGGGTCATGGCCCAATCTCCCTATTCCATCTACAGGGAAGGTCTATGCCCCAACAGTGGGGACATTAATAGGCTGGTGATGATGATGATCATTAATGGTGCAAACGAAACTAATCAGTTTCATCTGCACCATTAATGGTGCAAGTCAATGGTGCATTCGGTACAGCGGGCCTTCGTCTTATGTTCGCAGAATTCCGAACGGCTCGTCGTGTTACGATTCTAGTTAATTTCCCGTCGGAATTATGCTCCACAACATTTTACAGTTAATACAAAGTTTCTAAAACAAATACTTTACAAACGTTTTTCTGATTATCATAACAGCCTATTCATAATATCATTTTTTTATTATCTGGAAGTGGTCGTTAAACATTTACTTATCTATCACGGTACAATAATAACTTACCACAAAAACAATATTGATAAGGTTTTAATCTAAATATTAAAATTTAATATCGATGACATTTATCAATAAGATTATAATGAAACGAAATATTAGATAGATGGTGATAACAGATTTGATTTGACTCGTATGATATATTATTTTTCCAATATAACGCAATTAAGTTTACTTTGAAGTGAAAACTTTTTTAGCGCGTTGTACACTTTTTTTGTAATGGGTAGAAACTGTTAAACTCGCGTCAGGACACGTGGCCTGATCGCTTCAGGAAACGTAAAGCAATTCGTTCAAAATTATTCCTTAACCATTCCAAAATATCAAAAATGCTCAACGTTAATATTAAATTTTTCACTTCTGCCGGCACTCCCGGAGTACAACCGGTTGTTTTTTTTTTTATTATGATGATAATGTCATCCACATTAAGAAAACCTTAGATTTTTACCTAATATCATTTTAATTTGAAAATTATTTATTTTAGTAGGTTATGGTAATTTGGAGTTTTTAAGTTTTTGTTATTTGTGTAAAAATCTACATATTTAAAGTATTTTTTATTATAAAATTACAAATCTTATGTAGCAGTATACTAAACGATATATACAGTAATTATAAAAAAAATAATATAAAATATAAAAATTTTACGATTTCTGATATAACACATTCAAAATTATGCCCCATTTAGAACTTGCTTTTTTGTATTTTTATAAAAGCATATGTAGTCGGGCAGTTTTTAAAAGTAGTCAGAAGTTATGGAACACCTGTTTTTATTTTGTTGAATCCGTTTTTATCCGTCCGATTTTTATGGATCAATAATTTTATATATTTGGTTAAAGTTATGAAGGAGATTATTTTACTAATAAAACAGCAAACAATAGGCTTCTGTTAAAAAAAACGAGGAAAAGACGACCCAAAAAAAGTTATATTTTTCTAAGTTGTCTCATCGTTGAATCATAAAAGTAACGAAAATAATTCTAACTCGAAAACAACGAAAAATCGTAGAGAACACACATGGGTGTTAAATTGATAGGTATGGTACTCCGCTATCAGCTTGGACTGGCTTGACCCCCTAAAAGAAACACCCTGTGTATATATACATATACTAGCGGCTGCCTGAGACTTCGTCCACGTTTTTTGAGAATACCTCAGGAACCCGGGATAAAAATGATCCTTTATTTCAATCCAGGTAATGAACTATTATGTGTGCCAAAGGAGATTGCTCAGCTTCCATACATGTTTGGCCTAAAGACCAATAATCATGAAAAATTGTTTCCTAGATTCGAAATTATATACAAATTACTGTACAAACGAACATTATTGACGGACATCCCTGAGAACTTCTATAAACCATATACACTGAACGATTTTGAGGTTATGTTTGCAAATAGGTACAAAGGTATTAAAGTAATAAAAAACAAATAAGTTATATAGTAAACTTGGGAAATCAAGCCAAGTACCGAAATTATGTATTAGATTCAGGTATATAGAGCAATTGTCTTAGCACATTTGCATGTAGTGAAAATTATAATATAGTTGTGGACATTAATACCACAGTGCAGTGTAATAAAAAAAATATTTATTTTATCGATCTTTACAAAATAGATTTGATTTTATGATAAATAAATAACTTCGATCAGTATTTCGCTGAATTACTTACTGCTACGCTGAGTTACTACATCCATAGCCAATAAAATGATACGTATGTTTTTCAAACCGGTAAAATTAAAAGTCCTTTTTAAAATGAATATATTATACAAAGGTGTCCGTTAAAATCTAATGACTGTAAAATAAAGTATAAATTATGCTAAGAATTACCGTATATGTCATTATTTTTTGTGCATTTGGGCCAATTTGAGCAATTCTTTATCCAAATTCGTCCAGCCGTTTTCCGATTTAATGAAGCCCTACAGTAAAATACTCTCCAGTAAAATTTACTACCACTTTTCACCCCGTTAGGGTGCTTTGCAACTCTACCCGAGTTGCAAAGAACCCTGATACATGTTATTCTTTATTTCAGGTCTCAATATTAAGTATACTTATTCAAAATATGCCTTAAAATTTAACCATATAAAAATTCGGCCCCTGCAATCTTTCCTTTAGGGGTAGTCTAAGAAAACCAAAAATGGCGAACTTTATAATTAATTTAGATAAGTATTCGTACCAACTTTTAAGTCTATTAACTGAAAAAATAAGATTTTTCATAAAAACTTTTAATCCCTTTTCTACCCTCTAAGGGGTACATTTTCGAAAAACCCTGATCTGTATAAGGGTTTTACGGTATTCTTTATTTCTGTTTTATAGTAAAAAAAATAAGTTTCGTGTTTTAATCGAAAGTTTTCGTTAAAATAAATCTATATATACTTCGACACCCTCCCAAACCCCATTTAGGCGGTAGTTTAGGAAATCTAAAAATGACTTAGAATTTAGATAAGTATTTGTGCCCAGTTTCAAGTATATTAACTCAAGTTATATGATTTTTCACACAAGTTTTCATCCCCTATTTTAAACCCTCCGGGGGCGAATTTTGTGAAATCCTTTCTTAGTGTGCCCCTAGACCTCATAAGGAACCTACGTGAGGAGCCTAAAAAGGACTAGAGAAAATTCGACACAGGCATCAGCGCCGCGGTAGCATAATGGCTCGAGTTCTGTCTGCTGCCTGATCCTCATGTATTTCTTCTAGTAAAATTTTCTTTAAATTAAAAAAAAGTACTTTAATTGCTTTTTCTTCTTTCAAATGTTTAATACTTGTATTCATTTGATATTGTGGGTTACCTACAATGCGAAAGATAACGCTGTCTTGCAGCCTAAGAAGGGCTAGAGAAAAACCGATATGGCCATCAAAGCATAATGGTCGGTGCATTCGCCCGGATAGCGAAGGGTGCGGGTTCGAGTTCTATCCGCTGCCTGGTCAGCATGGAATTTCTTCCTAGTAAAGTTTTCTTTAAAAAGAAACATGTATGCCGCTACGTTGTTTATAAATATAACAAAAAAATATAGGTATCAATACTTTTTATGGTATTTGGTATCTACTTTAAATTTCCTCATTATAAACTTTTAATGTCTTTTGAATTGAACCAGGTAGGTACTTGACATTTTCGTAGCAGCCAATGACGAAATAAAAAAATGTGTTAAAAATTAAGGAAATTATATATCACATGATTAACCTTGCATGGTACGAAAACCTTCGTTTGTGTCAGACTCGCGTTTATTTTTTATTTTTACTAACCTTGCCAGAATTTTGCATCGACAAGGTTTATCATTCGCATTTCTCTACGCTCCATGGTCCATCTCAAATTTATCTGAATGTTTAGCAGTACTATTTTCTGTACTTACCTTGCAAGAGAAAACTGACCTTTTCATTCCGCGAATTTACATTAAGACAAGATACTTGCTCGTTATTAGTAAACTAGTGGCCCGCCCTCGCTTCGCTTCGGTGTAGAGCTGTAGTGTAAACTATAGTTTTTGTTCTCAGGCTTGTGCTATAAACAATGACTTTATTTATATAATTACACGTGTTATTGTGAGTCAACCATAAAAGATAGACATATGCTGTTGCGGGATATTTTTTAAACAATTTTATGTAGAATATTTCCGTCATACATGATTTCTATGTAACTTTAACCATTAAGGCTGCACCCGCGACGGAAGCTTAAAAAATGGAGTAACTTCTCCCGTTTTCCCAACATTTTCCTTCACTACTCTGCTGCTATTGATTGTAGCGTGATGAAAAGTATACTATAACCTGCCCAGGAGTATGAAGAATAATTGTACCAAGTTTCGTTAAAATCCGTTGAGTAGTTTGTGTTTCTATAAGGAACATACACACAGACAGACAGACAGACAGACAAAAATTTTACTGATTGCATTTTTGGCATCAGTATCGATCACTAATCACCCCCTGATAGTTATTTTAAAAATATATTTCATGTACAGAATTGACATCTCTACAGATTTATTATAAGTATAGATGTAACATTACAAGAATTTACTTACTCGTTGCTGCCATAAGTTGTGGCAGATACTTCTGCCAGAAGGCGCACTGCTTCACTTTCAAGCCGTGGCCCACTGCGCTCGAGTTGACTGCCAACGACAAGTACTCTCTGCCGAAGGCAGTGTGGACCGGCCAGTGCACTTTCGTCATATCACCATTGGGGTTTAGGGACGGGTTGCTGGAATCACCAAAATTAACAAGTATTGGTAAACTTAATGAATAAATACAGAAACATTACTCGAAGTCAATAGTTTCGAGAGGCTTGAATTTATTATTCTGACTTGGACCTGGATCTGAACAGCTGTCACTTTTGTCATCGTCATTATATAAAAATGTCTATTGATTCAGAATTCTCTTCAAATCAACAACATCATCAGCCTATTATTATCCACATGCCTCCTATATGGATAATATAAGGATACCCAACACGCAGGCCTTATGCCAGATCTATGTTCATGGGTGGTTCAGCGCCCATTTAAGATGCAGCCAGAACCAACAGCATTAAGTATCTTCTGAAAGTATACATCATTAAATCACTGTTTTCTTCAAGTACGTATTAACAAATAATTTATGAAAAATATATATACATACCCTGATCTTGCAAAGTTGGCCCAGTATCTCATTATACGCTTGCTGAATTCTACTTCCTCTGGTGAATAATTCTTTCCGGGATTTAGCGGCTCCCCAAACACGTAGTTGATCTCATCCGCATGCATCACACCTGTCCAGGATGGCCAGGGATTATTCTTACTCCGATGCTTATAATAATATGTGTAAACGTTATTTCCAGTCTCAGCATACCGATGAGCGAACTCGTTTACTCCACACGTAAAGTGATAGTCCCCAACCATTTTGTCCAAAGCGTTACGGTTTCTCACGGGATCTTCTGGATTCAGCCAGTCAGTATACTCAAACACAATTGCTTGTCTGCCGACATCGCTTACATATGGATTTAATTCCCTCACTGCTTGCAGGTACTGTTCTCTTGTAATACCAACATTTTCCTCTTTGGGGAATAGTTCTGTGAGATAGTATAGAATGAAGTAATATCCTTCTTCTGTATTTGAGCCCATCAAAATATTCGTTTTCTTAAAGTTCTGATGAGCTAAAGATCGTATAGGCATTTCGTCTAAAAACGATCCATCGATTATTGGAACAAATGGGAACTCACAAATTCCTAATGTACCCCACTCATTATTGACTAGTTCGTCAGCACTCTTCTTCCTTAAACATTCAATCATTGGGCCCATATCTTTTAATGAATGAGGACAGTGAACAGCTTCTGCTAGACGTGTGCCTCGTAAAATGCTTTCCTCCCTGGATATTATCGCCCAAGGTGCTGTGGCAGCCCCTGATTGCATAATCGCTTGAGAAAACAAGTTTCTTGAAAGAGGTGAAAGTAAATGTAATGAAACTGAAACCGCTCCCGCTGACTCACCAAACAAGGTTACATTATGTGGATTACCACCAAAATATGCTATGTTATCTTTGACCCACTGTAATGCCATAAGCTGATCAAACATACCGGCATTCCCAGGTACATCAGGGGTGTCAAAGAAAAGAAAACCCAAAGAGGCGACACGGTACTGCATGGACACGTACACAATTTTCTCCTCGGAAACCATTATTTTCGGATCATATACATCCAACGTGGCAGTACCAGAGTAAAAACCTCCTCCGAACACCCACAACATGACGGCCGCATTTTTAGGCCTCGGTCTAGGTGACACAATGTTTATATACAAACAGTCTTCCTGCATGTCTGTATTGGGATTCCACATCATCGCACCAGGAAAATCCCCGAACACCGTATCTATAATTTGGACGCATGAGTGAGGCAGTGTCGTCGTATTGAGTATTTCTTCACCCCAGCTTTCGGCTGGTCTCGGGTGTCTAAATCGCAGATCCCCGATCGGTTTCTGCGCATATGGTATGCCGAACCAGGCGTCTACTTTCTTGCCCGTGGCGGCGGTGAGCGTGATACCTCTGACCCTTCCCTTTCTAGTGCGTACGATTAGTGGGTCATCGTCCTCCGGTCCTAGCTGGGGCTCGTCGGCGAGGAAGCCTTCGTCGTCGATTCGTTCATGATTGGAATAGAAGCGGTCATCATCTCGTTTGGACGAGGTCTCTGCGTCGTCTAGCTTGGCTCGCTTGGAGGAGGTCTCGTGGTCCTCGACGCGGGGCAGGATGGTGTCGAGCTCGGGGTTGTAGCGGACGGCCTCGCCATGGCCTCGATAAGGCTGCGCGGGGTTCGCGGGCGCGGGGAAGTGGAGGGGGTGGTCGGGCGCGTGGTGGCGCGCTCGGTGCTCGTGCGGCCCGGCCAGCGCGCGCGCCGCTAGCGCCGTGAGCGCCGCCAACACCACGCGCATACCGCCGCTACGCCCACTCCCACAATCACCACCTGGAATGTTAACAAGCGAACATTCAGAACTCCGCATTTGTAATATGGTCATCTCACTAACTAGTATAGCCGATTTTTTATTGATAATACTATATTAATATGTAAACATTATTAAATTTTCTACATTTTTTGATACTGTCATTGACCAATCATTGTTATTGGTTTGGGTATTAATCAAAAGCAAAACAAAAGCATAAAAAATTAAAAAAGGAAGATATTGAAATATCTTGATGAAAAGACCAAGCTTAGTCAATATGTCAGAAATAAAGAAGTTAATATTAATATCTGGTCCAGTGATTATATTCATGAAAAATATGTTGCATTTTAAGCAAAAATACATTCTATCAATCACATCTTCACGTCCAAACTGTTCGAAAAATAATGATACATCAAGTAAATATCTCACAAAGCAATAGTTAAATAACTTTGCCTATACCTATAGAAGAGTCGTGAACATCAAATAATCTTTTCAAACAAGGGACGCCCAAGGCCGATGACAAATTAGTCTCTTACGCAACTCAATATATTTCAGTCCTCAACAAATGGCAATTCATCAAAACCACAAAGAAACCTGCGGACACCTCTTTGGAAAACCTTAATGTAAAAAATAGCTGGCCAAGCGTGAACCGTGACAATATTGTAAGAATTCCCAATAAACATGTTCTATTTTTGTCCACCATTTTTATTACGTCTTAGATTCAATATGTTCTTAAAATGTGGCAAAGTATTTTTCGGCAATGCTACGTAATACATCCTTACAATATTATCTCATCTTGCGATTAATACAAATAAATTATTTTGTTAACATCCACCTGCCTTGGAGGTTGACTGTTGTCAATTCATTTCATAATCATCAATTAAAGAACCCTCCGCAGTGTCGGGTAAAAAATAAAGTTCCATCTGGATAAACTCTGTTTTACGTGTAGAGAATTCTAAAAATTCAATCTCATAATTTCCAATTTCACTCTCATAATCCCTAATGCGCCAAAATAAATATAACTTCAAAAATATTTTATGTCAGTATCTGAGGACAATTTTTTAGCTGTCTTGCCCTTGAAAGTAAATCAACAAAATCCCAACGCCCCATTTTTCCCCTTAAACTTTTTTGATCATTACAAGTTTCGGAAGCCCATAATTACCTGTTTTGCTTACACGTGCTGTGGCTAAAATTATTCCAACCTGAACCTTATACGTTTCGCATTAAAGTCAATTATAAAACGAAATAAACTTTACTTTCGTCTAAAGCAGTGACTAAAATAGAGACATCGATTAAAATCCATTCACAAATACTTGGTCTGAATCGGAAATAGGAAACCGAAATTAACTTAAACTTTGTTTCCCCACAAACACATATTCAACTTTGAGCTTAAGATATGGCACAGTAGATGTTATGGCAGGAGATTAAATTTTCTAGGCCCTAGTCCCAAAGTAAGCAGTATATCTGAATGGATTACGCTATGGGATACAAGGGTAACGGATAGAAATAATATACTCAGATACGAGTAAGTATATTTTTGTAATATAAAAACAACAATGACTTAGCTGTTTCTGTACGAATTTTCATCATGCAAATATTTGCCCTACCAGGATTTGAACAAAGGACCTCTGAGAAGGCGACATCTTTAAAACCGATGTATCCATAAAAACAATTATAACAAAACAATAAAAACATATGGCCCGGCTAAAGCCTTTAGAAGCGTGCGATATATACATTTATATGTGTGTGTGTGTGTGTATGTGTTTTTTTTTACCCAATCCCTACCCCGTGGAGCCCTGGAACCTTACTCACCGACAGAAGCACAACACACCAGAAGATAATGTTATTTTACTGTAGTTTTCTGTAAGGTGGAGATTACTTTCCTTGACCGTGCCTAGACGGGCGCTCCAATTCGAGCCGAAAATCTCTCTTTAGAAAATTAAAGATAAGGTCTTAATATTTATTGGTTTTGTTTGTATGAAGTCATTTGTTATTAGAACAATGTTCTTTTTTTTCGGACGGTATTGATTTGGCGGATGGAGGATAATCGAAATATAGTGTAACATTTTTCCGTTTCGTAGTGTATTGTGTTGTGTTGTGCACTTACACTTTTGTTTATTTTTAACTCCGTTTCAACGAAGTGTTTTGCTACACTCAAGTTAGTTTTTACTTTTAACCGACTTCAAAAAAGGAGGAGGTTCTGTGTTCGACTGTATATTTTTTTTTTTATGTATGTTCACCGATTTCTCCCTCAATTGTGGACCGATTTCCAAAATTCTTTTATATTCGAAAGAGTGCACTTTTGAGGTAGTCCCATTGGAACCAAATCAGGATGTAATGGTGGAATCCGGGGAAATCGAGGGAAACCTTCAAATTTCAAAGGCACGCACGATGTTTTTTTAATGAATTATCACCGATTTCTATGTCAAGTTATTGTTTACTTGGAAGATGTTATTTTCACTAAAATGGATGAAATATGTTTCTTTAAACAAAAATTAAAACCGACTTCAAAATCGAAAATCGAACTGAAAAGTATAAAATAATATCTGGTTCATAATTTAGAAGTCGGGCGAAGTCAAGATTGAAACATTAAAAAGATTTTCGTTTCTGATCGGTAATAATACGTCTTTCAATCTTGACCCTCTCGACTTCCAAATCATGAACCAAACATATTTTTTTACTTTTTAGTTCCATTTTCGATTGGAAGTCGGTTTTATTTTTTGTTTAAGAAAAATATTCAACTTTTTACGTATTAATTTTAATAAACCAGAGCAACATCAGTGACGTATATATAAAAACATCAAAATCAATTCCTAAATCTCGGAATTAATAATAATAATAATTTATAAGAACCACTTTACGATTACATGATAATCTGAACCCTGTCCTCTGGAAAAGGTTACCCTGACGACCAAAAGACAGTGCTCTCTCCACTAATGTTACGTTTACAAAGTATTGTAGTTGCGGTTGATATATATTATGTACTATAAAGCTACAATAATCCAAAAATACTAAATAAAAATTATATAATAAAATGATATTAAAAAAGGGCCTAGTTATAGCATTAACAGCATAGCATTAAATTATGCGCGAATAGTATTAGAAAGAAAGAAATATGTATATACAGATGGATAAAGCAATCCCTCCTTTTTAAAGTAAGTTAAAGATTAATACCCATTTACACCAAAGTTTTTAAATCAAAGTTAAAATCTAATCATGTTTAAGTCTCATTCTATATCAATTTAAGGTGAAACAATCGACCGAATTCCCTTCCCTCTAAAAGCTTGGCTTGAAAATCTTTGAAAAATTCATGATAATAGTGATTTCATAAACTTTTAAGGAAAATTATAACGATTAAAATAGATTTGGTAGTTTAAGAATAATAGTCGTTCAGCTTATGTATTAGAAAATTTCCTAATAAAAAGTCCTTAGAAGAAAACATTAAATGTGACTTAGACGAAGTAATTGCTAAAAATATAGACTCCTTGCAAAATATTTATATTGTGGTGACGACGAGAAACTACGCAACCTTATACACTGCGCGTGGCAAAACACGCACTTTGTCGGTTTTTTAATTTATATCAATCAGGATGCATCGGTTTTTATTCGAATTCAAGCAGGCAACTCCGATTATGAAACTTTTATTTATCGATAACCAGGAATGCGAACGTAAATGCCTATTCAAAAGGTCTGCGCAATATTAAAATCTGCGCTGTACTCAAACAAAACCGCCGCACTGGGAAATTGCTTTGTCCTGGCGGCAAATGAATAGATTCCTGGCACCTTTGTATTGTGAATCTCCCACTGAAGACATTGGTTAATAGAATCGCTGATTTATTGATCCATTCCGAACTCTCCATATTGCATATAGATAATTAAGGTCGGAGGACCTCGATGGCGTTGTTGGTTAGCGCGTTCGGCTGCGATCGTTGAAGTTAAGCAACTTTCGCAGTGGTCGGTCATTGGATAGGGGGCTAAAGATCTTCCATCTCATGTTCCTCCATGCTTCGGAAGGCACGTTAAGCCGTTGGTCCCGGCTGCATCTGCAGTCATTAGCACCCGCCAATCCGCAAAGGGCCCGCGTGGTGGATCAAACTTTTATTATATCACCACACAGTTTTTCGTTCATAATTATAGCATGTCCCATTACATTTATTTATTATTTATTTACTCATTTAGTACACACATAATAAAGCAGATAAGAAGAAAAGAAACAAGAAATTTGTACAAGGGTACTGCTTATTTCATATTAAAATTTCTTCCAGCAGGCCTGCGAAAGGAAGGGGCAAGGAGACGTGACGACGACGGCGACCGGGAGAGGAGAGATGGACGGGAAAAACTACGCTTCCCCTCCCGCTCCCCCTCCCAGGAACGGGGGACCCCCTCTTATAGTTTTGTCCTGCAAAGGGGGGCGGCGGAGGGCTGCTTGGACGGGTATTCCCAAGAGGTCCTCCGCAGCGGACGGGGGGCTGTACGCTAGGCACTAGGCCGCGTACTCAGCCCCCACGCGCGGGCCATCCTGCGCACGTCTGCCGGGTCCCCGCAATATCTCGGGAGACCCATGCCGTGGAGCCCGGCTAGGCCGGGAAGCTACTGGGTGCAGAGTCGCGGAAGAATCCTTAACGGGACCCCGCGGCTTCGCATTAAGCAGTGTAGAAGGTATTCGCAGGACTTTTTTGCGAATATTATGCAGTATAGCGCCGTCATCTGTAAACAGTATTTTTTACCTGCGTTAAAAAAAAAGGCCCGCGAAAGGAAAGAGCATAAATAAGGCTGAATAACATTACATACAATACGTACATATGCAAAACATACATATATAGAAAAATTACATATATACTTATAAAATATATGTGTTAAAAATATTATGGACTTTTGAGTAGGGATTTGTATTGAGATATTTTTTTAATCGTGTTTTAAAAGTGCCGACCTTATCAAGAAGTAAAGAGGTACAGTAGTAGAAAGCTCGCCTGCTACGCGGGCGCCCCGGTTTCGAAGGACTTTTTAGGGTTCCGTAATACAA